ACAGTTAAAAATTTGAGGGACTGGTGTGTTGGTGTAGTGGGGTACGCAACTCCCGACAATGCAAGTATCCCAAAGCAGAGCTCCTACTTCAATGCCCCTGGCTCATCCGCTCCCAATGCAGGTACCTGCCCAGAGTCCCTGGGCAAGGAAGCCAGATGGTTTTCCATCTCCTTGGAGCCTTGCCGACACATATGGGAGTTCGCCGATAGAGTTCCTGTTCCTGCCCCCAGCCATGGGTGTTGCGGCCATTTTGGGGGAGTGAAGCAGCAGATGCGAGGATATCTTTTTGTCTCTCTCTCCCTCCATGTCAGTCTGAAACTCAAATAAGTCTTTTTTTAATTATGAAGAAATACTTTAAGTAGAGAAACCGTCCTATGGCTGGGAACACATGTGCACTATAAGAGAGAGAGCCAGAGAGAAAGGTCCTCGTCTTGAGTTGCATCGTCCTCCAATGGCGCCTGCAACCGGCGCGTTGCGGCCGTGGCGGTCAGCTGATCCGATGGCAGAGCCAGAGCCAGGTGCTTTTCCTGGTCTCCCATGGGGTGCAGGGCCCAAGCACTTGGGCCATCCTCCACTGCACTCCCTGGCCACAGCAGAGGGCTGGCCTGGAAGAGGGGCAACCGGGACAGAATCCGGTGCCCCGACCAGGACTAGAACCCGGTGTGCCGGCGCCGCTAGGCGGAGGATTAGCCTAGTGAGCCGCGGCACCGGCCCCAAGCAGTGTCTTAACCACTACATCAAACACCTGCTCCAGGACATTCTGATTTGTTCATGAGTGAGACTGGTATATAATTTTTCTTTCTTACAGTGTCATTTTGTGGTTTTCATATCAAAATCAAACTAAGCCCATATGAATAGTCTCTCCTTTTTATAATGTTATGGAATAGCTTGAATTAATGTTTCTTGAAAATGTCTTAGAACATATCTTTATAACTATTTGGACCTGATACTCTCCTTTGGGGACTTTTCAGCAAATTCAGTATCTTTACTGTATTGAGCCCCACCGCCATCCCTAACCTCTCCACCACTTTCCTTTCTTCATATGGTTTTTATTGTAAAATGTAATTTTCCATGGCTGGTATTGTGGCTCCTCTGTCTGCAATGCTCTTACCCCATGTGGGCACCAGTATGAGTCCTATATGCTCCTCTTCCAATCCAGCTCCCTACTAATGTGCCTAGGAAAGCAGCAGAAGATGGCCAAGTGCTTTTAGGCCCTTGTCACCCACGTGGGAGACCTGGATGGAGTTCCAGGCTCCTGACTTCGGCTTGGCCCAGCCTAGACCATTGCAGTCATTTGGGGAGTGAACCAGTGGATAGAAGATCTTTCTTTCTCTGTCTCTCTCTGCCTTTCAAATAAATAAATCTTTACAAGTAAATAAAATATAAATTTCCTACTAGAAAAATAAAGAATAAAACATTAATGGGTAAATTATAAAGTGAACACCCATCTAACCATTACCCAGCTCTAAGAATAGAACAGGTTATGGACACACTACCCCCCTCACACCAAATCCAGCCTGCACCTGTTTCTGTACATAAAGTTTTCTTGCAACGCAGCCATTCGTGCTTCCTAGCTACAG